ACACACACACACACACACACACACACACACACACACACACACACACACACACACACAGTCCTATTTCAGAGGAGAATGACCAGGAAGGGGAACCCTCTACTAAAAGGCAACTGATAAAACGCCAAATTTCGCAAGGTATCAACTGAAAGAAAAAGTACTTTCCTCCAGCCGGCTCAGACCAAAACCTGCTCAGTTCTCTCTGCCGGGGCTAGTTTTCAATTTCTTTTTGTCTCTCCTTTACCACCCACTGTCCACCAGCCCATCATTGGACGGCTGTCGGTGTCCTTCCCAACTGGTTGCCAATAAAGTTGTTACAAAGTGACCTTGAGCGTCTTCCCTACTGTACCCGATTCCCCGCCTTTTCCATCCGGGTGCCCCGGCGCGAATAAGAGCCGGACCGCGCCTGCGCGCCCAGCCCCACTCCTTCGACCTCTGCCGCCGTCGCTGCCGCCGCCACCTCGCGGGACGGTAAGCCGAGGGCGCAGGAGCACGGCCTGGCGGGGACAGAGCAGCGCCCACAGGGACCCATTCATTCTGCTGGCACCTCGCTGGGCGCGGGGCCCAAGCTGACGGCGTGCACGGGAGCCCCGCGGGACCTGGGGGTGGGTGGGGGAGAGAGGACAGGCCCTCGGAGGGCGCTTGACCTTAAGCCTCTTTGCCTCCTCAGAGAGGAAGCGGGAGAGGAGCCCACGTCGCCTGTCACCCAAGTCCTCCAGCCGCGCCGCCCCGAGGAGTGTAAGATGTTCTGCGCCAAGCTTGCCTGCACCCCCGCTCTGGTGCGTAGACCAGGCTGGGCCGGGGACTGAGGGCCGGCCCTCTTGGCCTGGAGCGTCCACGTTGTTGAGTGGGGCACCTCCGGGCGGCGCACACCGCCCGCTTGCGACAGCTCTCCCCTCACCCCTTAACCTCTGTGTCCTTTTCTTGCTTTCCTCCTAATCCTGGGGCGTCTCACTCTGCTCGTTCTGTTCACCGCGGTGGAGGGCAGCCGAGGCCTAGCTGTCAGGCCACGCGCAGTGTAGGTCAAGCCCTCCTTGCCCCGCGGCCTGGAGCGTCCCCCTCCCCCACCTCCTCGGCCACTCTGGTGGGCGGATGTCTACGCTAAGGTTGGGGTACTGTGAAGGATGTAGGGGGCGCCGAGGCCTGCGTCTCCGCAGCAGCGCTCTCCATTGCCTGTAGGTCAAACTCGCTGCTGCAGAGGGAGGGACTTTGCTTCATCCTGTGTGGGTGGAGGAAGGTGGTGGAGGAGAGCCTAAAGTCCTTCTTCCTGCTTCTGGAATGTTATTTCCATAACCATTTTTGGAGGCTTTAGGCGAAGTGAAGATCTGAGGGGTTTGTCTTAGAGAAGCAGATCTTGGTTCTCAAGGGATTTTCTGTGACCTTAGTTTAGTGGACACTCAAGGGCAGGCAGACAGCTGGACTGGAATATGGCCTTATGGTCAGAGTAGCTCACCGATTATTCTTACTCTGATGTAGAATTGCTTAAAATGCTTTTTAATTTCATGATTAATGGACATACAGGAATACCTTGGAAATTGTGGGAGCTCATATTAACTGATGGGCTGTTTTAAATGACAGTCTTTTATGACACTTGTTGGTCCTCTTAAACGTACCAAAGAATGTGGGGTGCTTATTGTCGTTTTTCTGATCTGAATTGTTGCACTACAATAATTGAAATTTTAAAAGCAATACCTGTTCTTTTTAACTAATAGTTCTGAGAAGTTTTGTTTCGTGTATTACAAGTAGCTTATGAGGCAAGCTTTAAAATTTCATTGGCAACTTTAAAACTATTAAAATTGCTTCATGTATTGAAAATGACATAACAGCCTATAAGTGCCAATACAGAAAAGTTATGAACTTTGTGATTCATTTTTGCTGCTTGCTTTTTTAGAACTCATGCTGCAAGAAGGGTCATTGGAGTCTTGTCTGTATTCTTACTTATTACATGGAACTTTTTTTCCTTAATAGATCCGAGCTGGATCCAGAGTTGCATATAGACCAATTTCTGCATCAGTGTTATCCCGACCAGAGGCTAGGACTGGAGAGGTAATAGTATTAATAATAGAATTTAAGTGACACTCCCAAGTAAGTCTTACAGTTTTGATTAAAGTGAAGAAAGAGGGGGGGGGAACCCTCATTATGAATGGTTTGAGTGGAATCCTTTTCATTCTTTTATCCAAAAAAATGTGCAGAAGATGAACCAATAAAATAAATTTCTGTATCCAAAATATATCCACCTGAGTTGGCTAAGAAATATAGTCAGTATGTATATTTAAGTATATAGTCTTGAGTTGCATATATTTAAGATTATAATAACTATAGTTATTGAAAAGCCTACTCTATTAAAAAGCATATGCACATATACTGTTGCTTAATTTTCAACAACCTTATAGGGTGTAGATACTGTTATTCCTACAAGATTGGAATTATTCTAAGCCCTTGACTTTTTTTCTATTATGCCACACCACCTCCTATTCAAACTTGGCTACAAAATAAAGAACTAGTTATCATTTTGACATTACAGTAGTTAAAATAGCTACCTGTGATGACTGATTTGACCTTTGCCTTTATTTCCTGTTCTCTAGGGCTCTACGGTATTTAATGGGGCCCAGAATGGTGTGCCTCAGCTAATCCAAAGGGAGTTTCAGACCAGTGCAATCAGCAGAGACATTGATACTGCTGCCAAATTTATTGGTGCAGGTGCTGCAACAGTAGGCGTGGCTGGGTCTGGTGCTGGTATTGGAACAGTCTTTGGCAGCCTTATCATTGGTTATGCCAGGTAATTTCCATTGTCAATTAAGCTAGTTTAAGAGCATGCTTGAAATAGTTGGAAATTTAGAAAACTAGTGAAATAATAATAGCTACTTTGTATTAAGTGCCTACTCTATGTCTTGCATTATATTTTGAGAGCTTTGTATGCATTATCTCACTTAACTCCCCATAACACCCGTTGGAGATACGTTCCAATTTACCTGTGCTAGAGACATAGGTCTCAAGGTCATAGCTAGTAAGTGTCAGAAAATAAATTGTAACTCCATTTGACTTTACAGTCTGCACTCTTAATTGTTAAGATATATTGGGAATATACTAGAGCATTCTTTAAAAGTATCAATTTCCATTTTATTATTTAAGACCTTATTTCTAAACTGTCAGATCTTAAAGGTATAGAACATACTTTCACAGGGATAAGAAGAATGTCAGAACCCCCCAAAATGGATGAGATTAACCATGTATATTGATTGACATAAAGAGACAGCTCTCTCTGTTTCCCGCATGTGATTAGGATTGAGGAGCAAGGAATGTCAAAGGCCAAAGCAAAAGAGATCTAGGCAAATGCTCTTCCAGTACTTTCCAGTTTACAAAGATCCCCACATTAGTAATCTGATTCTTTAACATTTACCAAATGTATTGAAATTCAAGTAATATCTCAAAGTAACAATTAAATGTGTTGTGTCTCTTTTAGAAACCCTTCGCTGAAGCAGCAGCTGTTCTCATACGCTATTCTGGGATTTGCCTTGTCTGAAGCTATGGGTCTCTTTTGTTTGATGGTTGCTTTCTTGATTTTGTTTGCCATGTAACATAAATTACTTCTTGAAATGTTGGCATTCATCTTAATTACGGATTAATTCTGTGTATCCTACTGTGACTCCGAAAACTATAGTATTGGTGTCATGGAAATATACGTTATTTCCAAAGTCATTTCATTAAAGATGAAAACTTTAATTTTTGCTGTGATTTGTACTTACCTAAATTTAGATCCTCACAAAGAAGGACATGCATTCAGGCAGATGCTGTTCAAGTCAGAGGGAACTACAGCAGTTGCCTCACAGATGAAAAAGATCCTAATGTAATTTTTATGGGAATTCTTTTATATAGTGTTCCGCGCATTGTAAATTATAGGGCTTTTGTTTATTCATTAAATGAAAAATACTTGAGTGCTTTGAGCGTCTATGAAATATGATTAATTAAACCAAGACAGTTAATTGCTTAAGGTGGTTTTGTGTTTTTAAGGGCCAACATGAGTTCAATACTTGGAAGCAGGATCACCTTCCAAGACTAACTTGGCTGGTCTTTCACAGTTGGATCTAAAAATCACATCAGCTTTTTAGGAATTGAAGCCTTGTTAAATGGGGGTGAGAGGCAATTTTTGCTTTTCATTAAGTCATACATTAAGCAGCTGTGTGTCTATAATGACCCTTACCTGTCTTGTAGAAGAAACTCAATCTAGCAACTAGTTTCTTGCCTACACAAGGCTCTCATTAAAAACCAGGTATCAATAAGTAAACTGAATTGGCTACATTTTTAAAGCCAAAAGTTGCTAAAGCATTGCTTATCATTGATACTAACAGATGTTTGTAGTAGGAGTCTTGGGAATGATAGTTGGTTCAACAGTATTTTATTATTAATAGTACATGTTGATTCTTGGTCAAATTTTTTCCTATGAAAAGGACGAAAGTGGTGCTATATATATAGAAAGACTGAGTTTTCCCCCTAGCAAATATAATGCCAGTCTATCATTTCTCATTTCAGTTTTAGGGTTTCTCTGAAGGTTAGGATGAAAGTTATTAGGAAACCTACATTTTATTTGTTTAATGCCTTCTGCCTAATTTGATTTAAATTGAGAAAGAGCTATCAATACCAGGGTTTTTCAGAGTGCAGAGGGAAGACCACCTCCATCAAAATCACCTTGGATGTCTGTTTAAAATACAAATCCCTAGGCTCTGGACCCACTGAATTAGAATCTTGGGCCATGACACAGCTGTTTGCATTTTTGAAAAGGTTTCTCAGCTAATTTTTGTACACGCTGTTAGAGAATCACTCACATGTATACTTCCCACTGTCTGTAAAGTAAAATTAGGCCATGAAAAAGCTAATGAGCTAAAAAGTTACTACTGCTTTTTAGTTGGTTAATCATCTAGTCTATAACAAATTCCTGGAGCCTTCACTATTTTCTTGAATAGTACTACCCATTATTTGAACTCAGCAATGTAAAGTACAGTATGATATGATCCAGCAATTCCACACCTTGATATATACCCAAAATAATTAAAAACAAGTGTTCACACAAAAACTTGTATTTGAATGTTTATAACACTATTCATTATAGCCAAAAGGTGTAAACAACCAAGCGTCCACCAATTGATCAATGGATAAACAAAATAGTATATCCATATAATGGAATATTATTCAGCCTTAAAATGGAATAGGTTTATTCATGCTACATGAGAACCTTGAAAACATGCTAAGTGAAAGCAGCCAGAAAAAAGGCTACGTGTTGCATAATGCCATTTATATGAACAGACAAATCCATAGAGACAAAGTAAATCAGTGATTACCCATGGGTGGGGAGAGGGGAAAATGAGGAGTGACTACTTAACTGGGTATGCCGTTCCTTTGGGTAATAAAAATGTTCTGGAACTAGATAGTGTTAATGGTTGCACAACATTGTGAATGTATTAACTGCCACTGAATTTGTATACTTTAAAATGGTTAACATAGCAAATAATTTTACCAAAAGTACTGTACTACTAAAGTACATAGTATAAATCATACTAAATTTTTGAAGTCCTAGGGAAATACTTAGATTAACTAGTCCTCTGTTCCAAGTTCATTTAAATAAAATCAACTTGTGTTTTTTTAAAAAAAAAAAAAAACAAAAGTGTTCTTAGTGCTGGTTTGGTGGTTGGTTGAAGGGGCCTGAAACTTTAATCGTGGAACAAGGTTTCTTGCAAGAGATGCCCCATCTGAGGAAATCTGAAAATGGAAAGGAAGTATCTGGACTGTGGCTGCCTGACCGCCATTTTACTGAGCAAAAAGAAAAAATAGTTTTTAGAAAGTCAGTATAACAGAGAAATACAACCACAGTCTCTTTTACCTAAAAGGGAAAAGGATATATTGCATCAAAGGATCAACATCCCAGAATATATCCTTCTACTACATTTTTATTTCCAGTAACATGTTTCTGACATTGAAAGTACATCACGGGAATACATCTGACAGAAATGTTTGTGTGCCACCTCCCTTAGTTCATGAACCTTACAAATATTAATGGTAAATGCTTTTCACTAACCTCTTAGTTTCTGAATAGGCCAATAAGATGTTATTTTCCATCAGACACCAAATGAATTCATTTTGATAAGAGTTTGACCTGTTTAAAAAATCTAATAAGCAAAAGCACCTGAGAGAGGTAGAGTGCCAATTCAACTATATTCAGAATAAAAGCTTCCATTTTCCAGGCGTACTTTTTATTCGGTATTATGTTGTTACCTTTCCTCAATGCAGAAACGTATTTTTAATGCCTTTGGGATTCACTCAAAATATAGGCTGAGTATGAAATATGTGTTTGCACTAAAGAGAAACTTGTCATCTAGCCACAAACACTAGGTATGTATGGAAATCACTAAGGCAGAGTAGAATGGCGACTTCCAGAAGAGTGCCAGTAAGTACTAAGATGTTCGGAGGAGGTAGAATTTCTCCTGATGGAATCACATGAAGAAGTCTTATTCCTCTACAAATTAGGATAAACCTTAAGGAATTGGTGGAATGAAGACAGGCCAGAAGAGGGTATCTTGGCTAGTGAATAGCATCAGGAAAAGTATGTGAGAAACAGCTGCATGGGTGAGGGAGGGAAATAGTGTGAGATAAGGCTGCAAAGGGTGACTTTGGAGAAATTATGTAAACTGGCAGGTGTATGAATGTGGGTTTTATTTATGTGACCAAGCCAGCCATTGAAGGTTTAGAACTGTATTTTAGGAAGGTTAATATAAGACCAGTGTGTAGGATGGTCTAGGGCCAATAATGATCAGTGGTTGCTATAGTAGCTTTGCTGAGAAGTAATGAGGGCATAGTCTAGGATGGTGGCAATGAGTTTTTTAAAAATCTACAAAAGTTGTATCAGGGCCGGCCGAGTGGCGCGATGGTTAAGAACTGGCTTGGGACGCCAGAAGGCCCTGGTTCAGATCCCACATATGAGGGCCAGTGACACTGCCCTTCACAGCTAAGATGCTGAACAACAGCTCAACCTGGAGCTGGGCTGCCGTGAGTCGCTGGCG